CCAGCCAATAAGTAACTGGTTAATTCTAGGCTATTTGCATCCTTAAATTTGTATTTTTAGATTTAGGATGTCGAATGGTGTCTTTGTAACAAACTTACAGTAATGTGGCGACATTTTCAAATTACAGGTTTTTTCTTAACAAACAACTAATTCTCTTGATTGATGCACTAACACTACTATTCATTAAAAGTATACAGTCATGTTGATGGTTCTAATCATGAAAATTCTTTAGTAAAATCGTATTACAGTATATATATGATTGAGGAATTGAATCATTATTGACAAAATGAATCTCATTCGAAATTATTTTCTAGTCAGAATAGTATGTTTAATAAAAAATATTTTAATCCACTTCAGGATTTCAATGAATATGATTAACGAGTTTTTAAATATTCATTGAAACAAACAAAATTTCCATCACCATAAAATCTGCAATGAAATAGATACAGAATTTAATTGTTTCAATCATATTTACTAAAACCAAGGGATTGGATAGTCTAAACCTTTATGAATCCTTTCCCATACAAGTTAGATAGTGTAATAATTGGTTTTTAGATATTAACCTTATTATACATAATTGTGTGTCAAGAGAGGATTAGTCGATGATTATCAAATAGTTCATACAGTGCTACATTTCTATTGCAAACACCTATACATAAAATAGTATTATATTGATATGTATAAATTGAAATTTTAAACTAAATCGAATGGTAGCCGGGAGGGTTTGTCGATGTGGTCATGAACAGTCACACTTTTTGACCTCATGGATGGAGTTTGAAACCTACTTTGAAACGTCCTTTAGAAATATTTCCATGGGTGAACACTGTTTTAGAAAGTACCCATGGGAATATCCTAAAGGCGAACCTTTTTGATAAATCAAGATGAACAATAGAAAATAACTGCTTATGGGAGCGTTGAGGGCTCACAAGGAGGCTTAATATGTCTTTTCATTGAGTTAAGCCATTTCAATTGATATTTTATAATGTGTCTATCTATGTTGTGATGTTACACTATTGTTTCAGATAAGGGTGAAGGTTTGGTACCATTAAAACTTTTAAACCCGCTGCAATTGTTTGCACCTGTCCTAAGTCAGGAATCTGATGTTCAGTAGTTGTCGTTTGTTGATGTGGTTCATAATTGTTTCTCGTTTCTCGTTTTTTATATAAACTAGACCGTTGGTTTTCCCGTTTGAATGGTTTTACACTAGTAATTTTTTGGGGCCCTTTATAGCTTGCTGTTCGGTGTGAGCCAAGGCTCCGTGTTGAAGACCGAACTTTGACCTATAATGGTTTACTTTTATAAATTTTGACTTGGATGGAGAGTTGTCTCATTGGCACTCATACCACATCTTCTTATATCTATTAACCCCACCACATTATGTATGTGGCTGTAACAAGTCAGGCGCCTGATATTCAGTGGTTGTCTTTGGTTGCTGTCTGTCATGTACGTTCTTCGTTTATTGTATTTATTATTATTCATGCCGTTGTTTTTTTAATTTATTCACATTTTGTTATGTCGGGACTTGTATGGCTGATTATACGGTATTCATTGTTGAAGGCCATGCGATGACCTAAAATTGCTTACATTCACATCATTTTGGACTCTGGGGGATAGTTTTCTCATTGACAAACATATTACATCTCCATATTTTTATTTAGATCCTTGTCAAAAAACTGCATCTAACATTGTCATAAAGGGCATTGAAAAGTAATAAGTAATAGGTCTTTATAATTAACACACATGACCAGGTGGAATCTGCATTTATGTTGGCGACACAACGATTATTATTAAAAATAGGAAATTGTGTCGACATTATGTCAGAAAGCGAAATTATTCCTAATAAACGTTAAGCAATTAAACAATTAGTGTGTGTATACCACTGCAATAACTTATAGGCTTTTTTCACACACAGAAAACTCAAGATTTTGCAACAAGAATACCAATAAAAACATGGGATGAATTACGATGGCCCGGGAGGCAACTCTCATGTTACTCGTCCGTCAATTAGTTACGATGACAAAACATCATACGATAGAAGATTATTAATTATTTTTTGCACTATCTCACCTTACATATTCGCTGTGTATCATCGACACCAAAAATTGGGTATCATTAATGCGGAGCCTTTGAACTTAAGATATCAACAAGGTTAAACTTTTCTTTTACTTATTATAAAACATTTCTGTCGATATGCTGAGGTAAAACACTAGTGATATGATTTACACATGTACACGCTGCTTCAACTTTTCATGCCAACAAAGATTTAGTTTTATACTACCAGAGAACTCTTTTTGTCAGAAAACACTGTCAAACATCCAAATATACTATCCACACTGATCTGTGTCCACACTTGTTTTATACTAAAAATGTGTGCAACTGATACATGAAAATTTCGAATTCGATGTTTTTTCGTCGCCATTTTGGACTGTATTTCACAGTTTGTTAAATGATATAGTATTCTTTTGTTAGTCCACTTATTGTCATTTAAAAAGGCAGAGGGTTGAGATTTAGAGAATTTGGTGATGATGACATATCATTGACAGTTTCTGTTAAATTGATTCACACCGTTTTAGAGTGGTGCACACGTGGAGCAGGATCTACTTACCTTACCGAAGCACCTGAGATCACCCCTAGTTTTTGGTAGGGTTCGTGTTGCTCAGTCTTTATTTTTCTATGTTGTGTTTTGTATACTGTTGTTTGTCTTTAAGTCTTTTTTTGCCATGGCATGAACAGTTCATTTTTGACTTTTGAGTTTGAATGTCCCTTTGGTATCTTTCTCCTCTCTTTTAGTAGACTCGAACGAATTATGAATTTATTTCTGACAAAAGTATGTTGCCCTCTTTTATGGTTATTTTTGTTGTTGTCTTGCTGACTCATTGACGTATACTCTTACTTTTTTTTTAATTTGTACATTCTTCACAATTATGGAAAATGTAATTAGAAGGTTAATGATATTATCTGTTTTTGGTCTTAAAGCAAGTTAGGCGACTCGTAAATCATGTTAATTGCACAATATTAAGATAAAACCGGAGTACGGCCAATTTCCCCTGATTTTATTTCACAACAGGGCAAAAAAAAATCTTAAAATCTTTGAATATTAAATTCATAGCATCATAGCCAAATATGTGTACTTTAGGTTCTAACAATATGTTGGTTTATTTCTAAACAGTTCTTTAAATTATAAACGTCATAGGAATACAAAAAAATGTATCCATCCCAAAAATTTAAGAGAAGTTAACGATTAACCACAACCAAAAGTATGTAGGAAGCAAAGCTATATATGTAATATCTTTTGGATACGAATTTATTGGTTTTGGCCAGTGATGTCCTTAGATGCAAATGATTAGACAAAATGCCTTCAAAAGTATCATTTAGCGCTGAATAACTTTTTAATTTTCTGGAAATATGTAAAATTGCGAAACAATATTTTAAGTATATGATATAGATCCTCTAATAAGGAATTTTCAGTAGAATTTGGCAAATTTTAGATTTTGACCATGTGACTGAAACAAAACTAACCAAAAGCTCTTAATTGTAAATTGAAGTACATAGGAAAAATTGCACCATATGTTTTCATATGTTTAACATATGTTTTTCATATGTTTGAAAACATATGTAAACATATGTTTAGGCCCGACATGAAAACATATGTTTTCGAACATATGAAAAACATATGGAAAACATATGAAAAACATATGTTTTTAAAATCATATGAAAAACATATGTTTTTCATACATGTAAACATATGAAAAACATATGTTTTTCATATGTTTTTTACAAACATATGTTTTTCATATGTTTTCATACCTGGCCTAAACATATGTTTTCATATGTTTGTCCTAAACATATGTTTTCATATGTTTGGCCCAAACATATGTTTTCATATGATTTTATCTTGGTCCTAAATATATATTTTTTATATGTTTTTAATTGCTCAAATGGATTTATTTTCTAATAGATTCTAAACATGGTTTGTATATATATGTATTTTTTTTTGCGATAGGTTTTTAAGGGTAACGTTTTGATGTTTTTTAATATGTTTTTCTTTAATTTGTTATCTTTTTTTTCTGTCAAGAACTCATTTTGAGTGTAAATACTTCATTGTGATGAGTTGTTGCTTTAAAAAGTAAAAAACCCAAAATACCAAACTCCACAGAAAATACATGGCAAAATCAAAAGCTCAAACAAATAAAAAACAATAAGTGCTCCAAAATTTTTATATAAAGTAGATTTTTTTTTTATTAAGTTGTTGTCTCTTCTATTTTCATATTTTTGTCTCTTTGACATACATTGTACCACATTTCTATTGTTATATTCTATTTTCAGTTGTTTGTCTCTTCGACATACACCATTTATAGTATTGACTATATTCTATTTTCATATGTTAGTCTCTTTGACATACGCCATTTTCTATTGTCTATATTCTATTTTCATGTTTGTCTCTTTGACATACTCCATTTCTATTGTCTAAATTATATTTTCATATGTTTGTCTCTTTGACATACTCCATTTCTATTGTCTATAGTATATTTTCATATGTGTGTCTCTTTGACATACTCCATTTCTATTGTCTATTATACTTTCATATGTGTGTCTCTTTGACATACCCCATTTCTGTTGTCTATATTATATTTTCATATGTTTGTCTCTTTGACATACCCCATTTCTATTGTCTATATTCTATTTTCATATGTGTGTCTCTTTGACATACATCATTTCTATTGTCTATATTCTATTTTCATGTGTGTCTCTTTGACATACATGTGTACTGGCATTTCTATTGTCTATATTCTATTTTCATGTGTGTCTCTTTGACATACATGTGTACTGGCATTTCTATTGTCTATATTATATTTTCCTATGATGTATGTGATATTTCTATTGCTATATCACCATACACAGATGTGTAATTGTCTCCACTGCTTGCTATTACTGGTGCATGTGTATGCAGCTGCTTTTTGGAAATATCCTGTATGATTAAGAAAGACAACTAGATTGACTTTGAGCTCAATATTGTATTAATTAAAAATTAATGTTCCTTTGGTTCTGTTTCTTTACTTTTCAGTTCCTGCAAGTAGAAATAAAAGAACAGAGTTTCAATGTCCACCTAGTCGCACATTTTAAGCTCATCACTTGGCGTCCATCATCGTCGTCGTTAACTTTTTACATTTTTAACTTCTTCTAGAGAACCACTGAATGGATTGGAACAAAATATAGCATGAATGTTCCTTATGAGGTGCTGACCAAGTGTTGTTACTTTGTTGCCGATCCATCATCCAAGATGGCCACCAGCAGGGGGCTTAGTTTAACAAAGGACCCTACGGGAAATACATACAAATGTTTTCTTTTAGAGAACCACTGAATGGAATGAAAGCAAATATAGCAATATTAAACCAAATTTGGCCTCAAACATTATTATAAGTATCTGTTATGATTTTTATCTTTTTTTTATATGATTTCAAAAACCCAAGTAGAGTCATGTGAGCGACGCAGGCTCTTGAGAGCCTCTAGTTTATCTATCAAGGGGCAATATTTACAAAAAACAACATGTTTTTTTGTTCTCAAAAATATTTATAAATAAAAAATATGCTTGGGGGAAAAAAAAGTTCTTTTTCTTGTATACTAAATATTTCAAACTGACCTTCAAGGGCATTACTATAATAGTATACTATAAGTTTAATAAAAAAAATTGAGAGCATTTACAAGGCCATTTTCCATAAATTTAATATTTCCAAGAGGCATAACTCTTTTGAAAAAATTCAATCGGCCATCATTACAACTGCCAGTTGGACATCTACACCTTACAATAATTCCATACACCAAATATAGTAAGTATAACTTATTGCTTCTAATACCTGAGATATTGACCACGAAAACTTTCTGACAGAGTAGACAGACACTAGCTATAGGACCTTGCAAGGCACCCACATACTAAGTAAATAGAAATATCCTATTACCATGATTACTATAAATAATATTAATAAGAGAGAAATTTACATTACAAAAAAACTTTAACCACAGACTGAACCTAAACTTTAGGACAGCGACGCCGCCCCTGGCAGAGTCTTGGATCACTGTCTCGCTTTCGTGAAATAAATTTGCAAGCTTGACAAAAAGCAGAACATGTATTTCAGAAATAGAAATTCTATTCAATTATTAATACTTATATGCTGTTATGGTCCTATATATTCTTGTGTGTTCAATATTTTGGCATTACACAAAGTCATGCTTTCTTAGACTGTTTGAAATAACAAATGTTTTGTTGTTACATTAATTGATTAAATATGTTGAATGTGAATTGATAGATATTTTAGTTTGGGAAAACATAATTTTTGCATCTTTTATTATTTTGTTATTTCTTTTTAAGTGCTTGTTGATGAGTCCAGCCCTTTCTGGCTGATTTTGACATTTGTTTCTTATGTTGGGTGCTGTCTGCCATTACTGTGTGTAGTTTTATTTTTTTCATTGGTTCACATTTTTTCATCCTTATACAAGTTATAGCAATAATAGGTTACTTTATGGTATGGATTTTGATCATTGTTTATGACTGTACAGTGACCAGCAAATGTTAACATCTTCGTCCTTTGGTTTTTTAATTGGTAGTTGTCCTATTGAGAATCATACATGTACCTCATCTCCTCATACATGTTAAACATGTTATATCTATATGCTGGTTCATAAAAAATCTTAAAAGGAAATTATTCAATTGTTATATGTTTGAAAACTCTTTCCTATATAACCCGAATAATTCAGTCGTTATATTCCGCTGATCTACGAAGGCTACATTAACGCCTGAACGTCTTCCTCGATAAAGACCGTCAACCGGAAATTCACACCGCTATGCATAATGGGAATTTTGATTTAAGTTGGCAGCTAAAGAAGGAGGAGTTTCGGATGTTAATTGATGTTAAATGATGTAAACTGATGTTAATTGATGTTAATTAATTATTATCGGATTTGTGTTAATTGAACACACGTGTTTAGTAAGGCAATTACAAGACAGTTGCGCAGACTCATTATCCTGATCGCCGCCGATTGGCTCTCTCTCACAGAGAGCAGACGACGCGGCCAATGATCATAAGGAGTTCAAGCCCTCGTGTGGGAGAAAATCGGACACGGAAAGGGCTTGAATTATTCGAGTTATTTCCTATAATGCAAAAACAATAATTGATTGATTTTCTAGCTTATTTTTATGTTCAGTGGCAAATATTTTATGTATATTCAAGACGAGAACAACTTTTAAATATACAATTCATATTACATTGTAATATAAACAAATGCTATAATTATTTTAACTTCTGACATCTCATGGGGGGTCTCATTGGGGGGTTCTGATCCCGGATCCCGCTTACTGTTTTGTCAGATTCCCGTATCCCGCTTACACTATGTACATAAGCAATTCTCATTTTTTTTGTAATTTCCCGTGTCCCGCTAGACTTCATTTCCCGTTTTCACGGCACAATAATTTGACTTTCACGTGTCACGCATACAAAAAATCGGCAATCCTGGGTCACGCTTAGACCCCAATGAGACCCACCTCATGCGTGTGTGTGTGTGGAGCAGAAGAAGGATTCCTTGATAAAATTGAGAATGGAAATGGGGAATGTGTCAAAGAGACAACAACCCCACCATAGAGCAGACAACAGCCGAAGGCCACCAAATTGATGCATACTTGACATCAGAAAGACATAAATAAACAGTATACATGGTATACATGCTGTAACATGTACAATTACACTTGAAAAAGTTTTAAATAGATAACATTAAATTATTTAAATTAACTGCAATTCTACAGATGAACTTACTTTGCAATTGATACCAGTTCTTTTTGCCTGACATCCGCACCTACATGTACACCAGTGATTCTAATACTGTACTTTCCTTTCATTTGGTAACCATGGTAACAAGCTAAAATTGTAAATCTTAATTTAATCCAGAAGTCCAGACAAAAACATGTTCATTTTTGTAGACATAGTATGAACTGATGCTCACTAATTTATATTTTTACTTTTGAGTGAATGGAAACAATATGTAACAAACAACAAAAAGATCAACAGTGTAACTAATATTAATAATATATGTATAGCCTAAGCCCGTCTCAGTATAGTATGAACTTTTTCTAATATAAAATGATCTACTCTGCTGTCTACAGTTTAAAATAAAATGCTCCCCAGGGTGCAGCTTGATATGACCGCAGAGGTCGAACCCCAAAAAGATGGGGCAAGTATTGACACAAAATACAAGCTTGATACAGCTCTGAATTTGGTTTGTGATTAAATATTTGACACGGCATACATGGCATAGGTTTCTGACACAGAATGAATGTGGTTTAAGAACTTAAAAATTTTAAATTAGACATTTACCTATTATGGTCCAATATCCTAAATCTAAATACATGGTTAACATTAGATTCAGCATATAAAAGAACCCCAAGAATTCAATTTTTTGATGAAATCAAACAAAGTTTAATTATGGACCCTTTTAACCTCAATGTGGACCAATTTGATAACGGAGCCCAAAAATCAAAAATCTAAATACATGGTTAGATTCAGCATACCAAAGAACCCCATATATTCAATTTTTTTTAAACTCAAACAAAGTTAAATTTTGCACCCGATTTGGACCAACTTGAAAACTGGGCCCATAATCAAAAGTCTAAATATATGTTTAGTTTCAGCATATCAAAGAACCCTAAGAATTCAATTTTGTTAAAATCAAACTAAGTTTTATATTGGACCCTTTGGACCTTAATGTACACCAATTTGAAAACGGGACAAAAATTAAAAATCTAAATACACGGTTAGATTCGGCATATCAAAGAACCCCAATAATTCAATTTTTGATGAAATCAAACAAAGTTTAATTTTGGACCCTTTGGACCTCAATGAGGGCCAATTTAAAACGGGATACAAAATCCAAAAAAACTTAATACACTGTTAGATTCAGCATATCAAAGAATCCCACATATTCAATTTTTGTTGAAATCAAACAAAAAAAAAGTTTAATTTTGGACCCCGATTTGGACCAACTTGAAAACTGGGCCCAAAATCAAAAATCTAAATACATGTTTAGATTCAGCATATCAAAGAACCCCAAGAATTCAATTTTTGTTAAAATCAAACTAAGTTTAATATTGGACCCTTTGGACCTTAATGTAGACCAATTTGAAAACGGGACCAAAAATTAAAAATCTAAATACATGGTTAGAATGGCATATCAAAGAACCCCAATAATTCAATTTTTGATGAAATCAAACAAAGTTAAATTTTGGACCCTATGGACCTCAATGTTGACCAATTTAAAAATGGGGCCCAAAATCCAAAAATTTAATACATGGTTAGATTCAGAATATTAAAGAACCCCAAGAATTCAAGAATAAAACCCCATTGAAATTGGTCAAGAAATAAGCAATTTATACAAAGTATTTGAAAAGTATTGTTATTGGCCCCTAATTCATAAACAGTTCGGGTCATAACCCCCAAATTCAATTCCAACCTTCCTTTTTTGGTATGGAACCTTGTGGTACAATTTCAGAAAGATCCATACACTTACACACAAGTTATATTGTCTGGAAACTAGTAAAATGCTTATTTTGACCCCTTTTTAGGCCCTTAATTCCTAAACTGTTGGGACCATAACCCCCAAAATCAATTCCAACCTTCCTTTTGTGGTTTCAAACCTTGTATTTAAATTTCATAGAGATCCATTCACTGAAACTAAAGTTATTGTCCAGAAACTAAGTGTTTTCGGACGACGCGGACAACAACGACGATGTGAAACCAATATATGACTGCAAATTTTTTTTTGCAGTCGTATAAAAAACAACATTAAGGCCTTAACTCTTGATGTTTAGTAAATCTTGATTTCCTGTTAAATAGGCAAAATTGTTTAAATACACCATTTATAGGCATGTTGTGGAATCTCAATAAATACTTATGATTGCAATGTTCGTTTAATCGTCGTTGTAGCTATGAAATCTATACAATAACGTCATTCACTACAACGTTACCATAGTTCAATGTTAGTACTTCACGTGTACTATTTTCCGACAAGGAAATATTAACTCATGAACATAATATGTTGTCATTTGTGTTACCATCCATACTTCATGCATTTAATAAAAGAACAGCTTTTCAATGTACCTCGCCAATTGATGGATAACCATGTTTAAAATTTGCTATCAAAAAGCAAAAAATATGTATGTTCTTTTAACCTTTTTCATAAATTATAAATAATCTAAAAGAAATGAAGACGTGTGTGGGATTGCTTGCAATACAATTTTTCTTACAATATCTATTTCCAAGAGGCATAACTCCTGTAAACATATTTGATCAGCACTTATTTTCTAACTCATAAAAGCCTATGCTAATATACATGTAGACATACATGTAAATGTAATTTATGAATTATAAAAATATCTGACAATAAATGTGGATAGTGTCCAAATGTGGACACAGATGATGCCCCTGCTTGCATATCATATAGTTATAAAGGGACATAACTGAAGAACGGTAAAAGTGACGCTACCCAAAAATTTTGTGGTAATAAGCATTGTGTGTAAGTCTCATAACATTCGGTTGAGGCTAACTCAAGTAGAGAACAGAAACTAAAAATTCAGCAATTTTTCTATTTGTAAACATGCATAACTTTAGAACGGTTGTGTTTAAGTTTTATAACATTTGGTTGAGACAAACTAAAGTTTTGTGGTAATGAATATTGTGTATAGGTTTCATAATGTTTGGTTGAGGCAAACTTAAGTTACCGAATGGAAACTAAAAATTTTGCAATCTTTCGATTTATAAAGGGGCAAAAGTCTAGAACGGTTAAAGTGACGCCACAAAAATTTATACTTGATCTGTGTTATGTCGAAATTAGCATTGTGTATAAGTTTCATCACATTTGGTTGAGGCAAACTTAAGTTAGAGAACGGAAACTAAAAATTTTGCAATTTTTCCATTTATAAAGGGGCATAACTCTAGAACGATTAAAGTGATGCCACCAAAATTCAAACTTGATCTGTGTTTTGTGGTAATAAGCATTGTGTATAAGTTTCATAATATTTGGTTGAGGCAAACTCAAGTTAGAGAACGCAAACCAATTACGTACAGACGGACAAGGGTAAAACTTAATGCCCCCGTGGGGGCATAAAAAAATGTAACCATAAAAGTGCTTTACTGGTTATCTTCCATAGAATTTATATTTCAAAGTGAAGTAATTCCTGTATGAATAATTTATCCAAGACATTACTGGTATATATAATAAACCTTTGGTATACATAAATATTACATGAATAAACAAAATATTTAAACAAAGTTATCCTTTTCATTACATACCTCTCATCACAAAATAATTATTGCCTGCTGCTCCTTATATGCACATAAATCAATATGACAATCTATGAATCCATTATACAATCTAGAAAGCGATGCCTCAAATGAATTCTGTTCTGTTGCTTAGATTCTTCTACTTCTTGAAGTACAAAATGTATTTTCATTGAAAATGCTAAAAGAAATAATGTATGACATGTACAAATGTATAGTAAAATGAAGTTACAATATTAATATATCTGCCAAATTTATTGCCTTAAAATTTTTTATATGACAAAATTGGCTTATTTTGATCTTTTAAAACAAGAACAACAGATCTAGACTTGCCCTGAAAAAAAAAACTATATAAAAAGTATTAAACTATTTGAATGTTCTAATCCATCTTATGTTTATTAAATCCATATGACCGTTGTATGAAGTGATGAATACAAGTGGTTAAATCTGCTTTGTCATGTTTGTACAGATACGATGTCAGATGAGTTAAGCCTTTTCACACCACTATCCCATGCAAGGGAGCTACCATTTGATAATAAAAGGGGGGGGGGGGGGTAGTATGAAAAAGTTTGTCCTGCATTTCCATTTTTCCACTCTATTCAGTCCTGTCTTTTTTTATTTATAGTTTATCCTGACTTTTGTTTTACATCAATTGTCATCCTGCCTTTTTTGGGGGGGCAAAGTGTCTCATCCTGCCTTTTTTTCAAATTTCATCCTAGACCCCCCCCACACACACACACATAAAAAACAAATGATAGCTCCCTTAAGGGGAAGGTTTGGCACCAATACTAGTCTGACTCCACCACATCCTGTACATTTTTATGCCTGTCCAAAGTCAGGAGCCTGTAATTCAGCGGTTCAAGTTGTCGTTTGTTGACTTTGTTGCTGTATATCATATTTGTTTATTTGTTCCTTGTTTTGTTTATAAATCATTACATGTATCAGTCTGTTAGTTTCCTCATTTGCATTGTTTTACATTTGTCATTTTCATTAAATGTCTTTTATAGCCGACTTTGTGGTATGGGCTTTGCTCATTGTTGCAGTCATCTTGTACCATAACTTATTATAGTTATTAACTTCTATGTCATTTGATCTCTGGTGGAGAATTGGACTCTTCTCATTGGCAATCATACATGTACCACATCTTCTTATTTTTATATTCACATTAAAGTATATGTTAAGTAGACCATTCATGCACTCTAGAGGTCCACTTCTTATAATGTACAACATGTACAAGGTGATAAGGCCTGCCAATGTAATAGCCTTGGTCATATTTTTCAGCTTAAAAATATGTGAATAGGTGTGGAAAACTATCAGAAGTATAATACATGTATGATAAGGCTAAGAATTATTAGATGTTTATTGTTATAGTACTCAGTAATAGTAGTCTCAGACTCAGAATAATTAAGGCTTATTGTACTTGTCATATGCAAAGCCTTGTAATTTTCTTAGTTGCAAGTCTTGTTTTGCCTTAAGCATTGTTAAGTTGACATAACATAAGGAATTTGAGCCTCAGATTTGAGCTTTAATCAAATGTGATGATTTTCTCGGTAATGCTAGAATGTGATTCTTGTCCGCTCCAGTATGTCCTGGAATCACTCATACTTAAAATTTGGAAAAGGTTACATGTACATTATTACCTATGCAATGTATGAAAAGGTATATATACATTTTTTAAATCTAAATTAAATGAAAAGGGGGAGTAATTGATCCCCAGGGGCACCCTTATCTATTAATTGTAAAATAGCTACTAAATTTAAAAATTTTGCTAGAGATTATAAAGTCGTCTGCACAGTGTCATGGTTTTAAAACAACTGATAAACAAATACAAATATCACACACCATAAGACACAATTATACAGGTCTGTATCAGTTAAAGTAATTAAGTTCTGTAGTGACATTAGATAAACAATTTCAATATATTACATCAAGCATATGATGTCCCCCCCCCCCCCCCCCCTTTCCAAGTTTGTCTTATTGTCTAAAGCGTTTACATATTATACGGTTATTTGGGATGTATTTGTGTCTTAATCTTGTAACATTCTCATTATGACATATACATGTAATAAAATAGATAATGAAACGGATTACCCAATGCAATTATATTTATATTACATTATCGTTCTCAGACTCAGGTTTACAAATATCTAGTCAAATAGTTTTTCGTGAAAAATAAAGCACACACATCTTCCTGCTTTTATCCAATAGTTAAACAAAATGTGAATAATAATATTTACCTTTCGTTGTGCTTTTAGGGTACGTAAAACTATCCATCAAAACAAAAACACTTTCGCTGTTTCGTTGCGTTGACTTTCTATAAATTTTCTATGTTTCGTTCCCCAGTTTCTTCCAGTTAATCGACAAGTCACCCATTTCAATTTATCTTTTTATAATAAATTTTGATTCACCAGTTTGAAAAACCAAAGTTCTTTGTATCATCTATCTCTGTCCATTCAAACTTTTTAAATGACAACAGATCGCGTGAGCGTCCATGGATTTTGCGTCATAGTATAAAAAACGGTAACGGTGAAAAGATTTCCGGGTTTCCGTATTCGACGTACCATGCAAGCTTTCGTACTTTACGTATGGTCTGGAATCACGATTGGGGTTTAAGAATATAGAAAATAATGACAAAAAGTGCAAAATAAAGAAAAAAAAAAATAAAGAACAGATACTAAAAAAAGTAGAAATATGGAATAAAGAATCATAGAGAATAATGGGATTATTGATAAAAAAAAAAGAATTGAGAATAAAGAACAAACTAAATAAAGAATATTTATCATCATATTATTATTTAATATTTATAACTCATTCATTTATTTTACATTATGTTCCATTCAGAACACCTGTGGGGGTGACATACATGTAGCCCGCTGATGATGTGGGATTTAGTGGGAAGAGTAGAAAGTGCACTTTCCTGTTTGAGAAATACACTATATAGATAATGAATGACAAAATGTATGTGATAATTAAATGACAAATTTTGACATTTTCTCAAAAGATTTTTTTTTAAATGTCATTTAAAACATGTGAAAACATATGAAAATCATATGTTTTTCATATGTTTACAAACATATGTAAACATATTATCTAAAACATATGAAAACATATGTTTGCTTCCATATGTTTTCATATGTTTCAAAACATATGTAAACATATGTTTGTAAACATATGTTTTTCATATGTTTGGGACAAACATATGAAAAACATATGAAAATCATATGTTTTTCATATGTTTTGAAAACATATGAAAACATATGTTGCAATTTTTCCTGTGTAGAGGTCGGCTCTTTGAACGATTTACGGACGCAATTGTGAATTGGTTTACATTACTGTTGTGAAATGACACAGGCGAAACGAATATGTTTTATTTGCCGTAGTTATATCTCTATTTTGGATTTTTTTGTACAGGTATTTGTCTTTTCGTTTTTTCGTTTTTTTTTCTTTTGTTAATAGCTATATTTTTCTTTCTTCAGTTTATGGTTTTTTGTAACAGTTTTTGTAACATTTGTATTTACTTTTATCCCCCTTTTTTCTGGCTGTCAGACAGTATGGTGTTATTTGTGTTGGTATTGATCGGAAATTTTCATTCCCTGTCTCGTCATGGAATTTTTCATGTACCCTCCATAATGCACAACACTGGAGAAAACCCTACGTTCGTTAAAGGGTCGTTAGCTGACCCAAATTCTCATATTTTATTTATAACATACTAAACCAAATTTCCAAATTACAAAACGTAAAAAAGAAACAATTAAAAATGCATGGGGTCGCTATAATGTAACAGCAATTCATACGTATTTTAGACCAGACGCCATTTAATTATCCACCGAGATGACCTCCGAAGATTCCCGACGGTCATATAACCCGATATACACATAAATATAAATATAAATAGATAGCGAGCACGTTCATCGGAGTTTTCTAGGTCTGTTTGATTTCATGTCATAGGCTAAATACATAAGTAAATAATCGTTTTACCTGTATAAGAATGATTTTTTTTTGTGGGAAGATCAATCAACGAAATGGTTATTCCTGGTGGTTCACTTGTTTCACTTTTCAATGTTAACATTCTTTTCATTTTAATGAATGAGCCACCTGGTGATCACATTCGCATCTATCTCCTCTAAAGGTCAACTTAACAGTTTGCGTGAATACGGATTCAAATGAGCTGAATTATTGACTTACAAGGCAATAATACACCAATGATGTTGTTTTAGCTTATTATGACGAAATTAAACCAAACTGACTACTAAAATCAATTTCTTTAGTATGTTCTACTTTAATAAATGTTTGAAACCAAAAATAACATATTTTATTTTTTTTGTAAAAGTAGTAAGGGATGAAAAAAAACTAATTACGATATAAATCAACATCAAAAATACATGTAAATATTAATACGTTTTTTTTCAAATTAAATCGTTGCTGTTCTTTTTACAATTTCTCCATTATCGTTTAAAGTAATAAAACGTTGTTTGAAATGTTTAAATAAAATACAAATAAGAAAAATTTATTTGCAAACAAAAGTTGAACTTAAGGTTGCTTGCAATGTCACTAAAAATATCGTTTTCGGATACTTAATTATAATACCTTTGGTTGATTGAAAAGAAAACACATGACGTTTCCCAGTGGAGTTACGTTAATCGTGTTGATTTTGTGGTATATATATATTAATTATTGGTTTTAAGTACAAAGTATATACAAATTAAATTCAAAGTGTCCTGCACATTATAGCTATTATTACAGCGTTTGAACTAGGAATGGAAGATCTAGGTGGAATAAGCATCGAAAGTCTGAAAAACACCTACCAAGTCGAGGGTAATGTAGGACTAGCATTTAACATTGCTTTATTGCAATGTTTTATGTTATGTCTACGGACGAACACGTGTCTTACTTTATTTTTCAAAAATGTTAGTAAACAGTGTATTCTTCATTCAAAGACATTTCATTATAAGTCCCCGACTGGAACAGAAATAGGATGGGAGGCCTATCAAATTGTTGATTGTAAGTACTTTCCATCAAAGTTATTTTACATAATATTTTAGATTTAATAAATTATGTTAAAAATTTCAATTTACATTTAATACTATTTCAATTTTCAAAATTAAGGAAAGAATTGATAATGTTGAACAAATTGTATGTACAGTCTAATGTTATTTAAGGCCAATGTACAAACATTGTAATTTGAGTGTTTTAATCTTTGCTTCGTCATTAAGTTTTCATATCTAGAAATGCTCTGAAACACTTTTCCAGGCAAAATTGTCGTTACCTCCGTTTTTTTCATTGTTTTCCCCGAAAAATATATATTTAGTTAATTTCATCAACCGTGGAAGATTCTAGCGATTACAAAGTTGCATGTTTTGGTTTCTCTCAATTATTCAAAATAGTCTTTCACATCAGAGTTATCTTCGAGATTTACAACTTAAAGAACGTGACTGTGTCTTTCTGTTGTCCGAACATTTATATATTTTAATATGGTAATGATCCGGTTTTACCAACATGCTTACTATTAATGGAGATTTACGGAAAGTCTCGGTACCGACTGTTGACACCGATATTGACAAGAAAATGACAGGGGTTGTCTCAAACGTAAATTTTACGGCGCACATGATTCATAAGGTATTTTTGTGCAAATAAAACCAGAGTCTTCATTGACGGAGCATAGTATCCCTCCATCGGCAATAAGCAGCAGCAAATTTTTTATCCAGAGTTTCCGTAACAGCACATTTCAATTGGATATGTCTTCAATTAAGCTCACATATATATATGAAGTACTTTTGTATGATTTTTTTTTTTGCTACAATGCCATAGCGTACAAATAAAAAAAATACGTTTTCTGATAGAAATATTATCATGTTCCACAGATACGAAAATAGAGGAATTGTAAATTGACCAGGGGGTGGGAGAAGCTGGAACAGATAATCAGTGCTGACCAAAATGACTTGAAAATTTGTGCAAACCAATTAGAGGCTATGGTGGTCACTCTGACAACCTTCATGGGCCATCGCACATTATTTGGGAAAATGGTAACCCAGGGAAATCTCTATCAAGTTTGGTTCGAATTGGCCAATAAGTGTTTGACAAAATCAGTCACCCAATCACAGGCCATGATGGTCACGTTTTTAAATTTGTCTGAATAATCAGACGCAGTTTTGGTGGAGGATAATCTCAGGAACATTTCTACCATCTAATTTCAAACCTATATTTAGTAGTTTTGGCAAGAAATGGACCGCTCAAAGGCTGTGATGGGCATTTTGAACATTTAATAGGGCTGTCGGACATAAGTTTTGTAATGGAGCATCTAAAGTGGATTCCTATATACCAAGTATGATTCAAATACTTTTGTAAACCGAAAAAGACAACTGACATCGACGGATGCCAATTGATCATGGCAACAGCTCACATATACCTTTGACCCAAGTGGGCTAACAAGATCGAGAGGGCCTGATTTGTAAAATTATATATACTAAATATAAAGTAAACTAGAAAAAAATTATAGGAAATACATTTTATTGGTTTCTCCACCTGAAATCCATCGGATTCTGGATGAAATAACTCATCAAATCGATCTCATTATTGTTTTCATTATTTTCATTATGAAGCTATTGTAAGCCATCTGGTTTTACCGGATAATATCCACCAGCGCCCGTTTTTCGGGTTGTTCCTTTTTTTAGAAGGCCCAGTTTCATTTTCATTGGATTGTTCAGGGTAAACTTTGACATCTTACTTGAACGATGCAGCTTCAACTCGGGCTATATCATACTTGCTTGATTTCGAATGTAAATATACTTTGTTCTGATAAACTATAGATACAAACAAGGTACACAGAAGAACATAGACATTATACAATAACACAAAGATTGAAGCTTCTCTGCTGAATCCGACAAGTCGTTCACAACCGGAAAATTTTGATGTGGAAGGGTTTTAGTAGATTAGCCGGAAGAATATATGATGATAGGAGATTTGTACAAATCGGCATCCCGTAATCACGACAAAACCAATAGAAAACAGAAACGCAAGTATCGAGATCAATCCCATCATTGCGGAATATAGAATTCTTGTCAAACATGCCATTGGTGACCTAAAAAATTTAAAGTGACTGGAACTTTATGGAGGCACCCAGGACAAAAAAAAACACAAATTGGGGAGACCTGTGCAGGACTTGTGAACCGACGACAAACTTTATTTGATAAAATAAATCATTGTGTAAAATAGTGTTTAACAGTTCTTAGCAATTATTACCTTGAAATGCTATTTTTTTTAGACGACCCCCTTCATTTTACCTGTCAAAGTTGGTGTAAACAGTCGGTACCGAGATTTTATGTAAATCTCTGATAAGTCTATGAATTTAGCTCATTCTCCAGTAACATTGTGTACGTACTTACAAGACACGTGTTAAGTTCATCGCTTTTAATAGATTGTTCACCAACGATCTCTGAGCCGTCCTTTAACTAAAAAATGTTTTCATTTATAAGCTTAGTGTTTTAGTTTTTCATATTTTCGCAAACTTTGCATGGTCATCTTGATGAAAGTTTATGATTAGCGAAAACACCAACTCCGATATCATGTTTCTATATATAAACACGGCGATGCCATTTGAACAGGACATAATAATGGTTGTCTGCCAAGGCAGTGCTTTTATTGCATTGGAAACGTTTAATGTTCCCATATATGGAGAATA